AATACAGGATCTAAAGATTAAGTTAGTGATCAGTCATTCCTAAATGATGAAGCCTTCATAAAAATCCCAAAAGTATTGGGTTTAGAGGACTTAATGAGTTAGTGAGCATGTGAAGGTTCTGAGAAAATGGTGCATTCAGAGTGCACGGAAGCTTTGTGCCCCTTCCCACCTACCTTGCCCTGTGTATCTCTAAATCTGGCTGTTCATTCATGTCATTTATTATATCCTTTGTAATAAACTGGTGAACATACGTAGCTCCCTGAATTCTGTGAGCCAGTCTAGAAAATTTTCAAACCCGAAAAGGAAGTAATGGGAACCTTGATTTATAACTGGTTAGTCAGAAGTACAGATAACAACCTGGGAATTGCATCTGAAGTAGAGGCAGTCTTGTGGAACTGAGCCTTTAGCTTGTAGGGATGTGATGAACTCCATGTCAGAATTGAATTCAATCATAACACACCCAGCTGATGTCTAGGAGAATAGCTTGATGTGTGGAGAGCCCACACAGCTGGTGTCAGAGGTGTTGTGCTATGGTGGTAGTATGAGAATCAAGGAGAACCAGAGGAGTTTGTCTTTCTAACACAACTATATTCATGCAAGAGTGAAGTTGGATCTTTACCTCACACCATGTATAAAAATGTACTCAAAGTGGATCAAGGATCTAAATGTGTAAAACACTTAGAAAACTATGTAGGCATTAATCTTCATGACCTTGGATTAGGCAGTGGTTTCTTAGATATGATAGCCAAACTATAAAACAGTACCATAAAAAAATACATTAATTGGATTTCATTCGATTTAAAAACTTAGGTGCTTCAAAGACCACTATCAAGAAAATGAAGAGAGAACCCACAGGAGAAAATATTTGCAAATTGTACATCTGATAAGGGACTTGATCTAGAATATATAAAGAACTCTTATAACTCAGTAATAAAGAGACAATACAATTTTAAAAAGCAGCAAACGATCTGAATAGACACTTCTCCAAAGATGGTATACAAATAGCCAATAAGCACATATGAAAAGATGCTCAACATCATTAGTCATTAGAGAACTGTAAATCAAAATTATGAGATACCACTTCATCCCTTCTAGGATGGCTACAATAAAAAAGACAGAGGTAATAATAAGAGTTGGTGAGGATGTAGAAAAATTGGAACCCTCATATGTTGCTGGTAGGAATATAAACTTGTGCAGCACCATTGGAAAACAGTCTAGTAGTTTCTATGTATTGCTTCAGATTAAACATGGAGCTACCATATGACCCAGCAATTCTACTCCCAGTTATACCCAGGAGAAATGAAAGCATATGTCCATACAAAAACTTGTGCATGAATGTTCTTTGCAGCATTATTCCTGATAACCAAAAAGTGGAAACAACCCAAATGGGTAATCAGCTGATGAATGGCTAAACAGGTGGTATATCCATACAATGGAATATTACTGACAGTGAAAAGAAATGAAGTATCGATACCTGCTACAACATTGAACACATTATGCTAAGTGAAAAAAGTCAATCATAAAAGAGACCACTTATTGTGTGATTCAGTTTATATGAATGTCCGGAATAGGCAAATTTATATAGAGAGGAGGTTGATTAGCGGCCTCATATAAGACTGGGAGAATACTTGTGGGGGAGATGGGAAGTGACTACTAATAAATACAGGTTTTTAGGTGGGGTGTTTAGGACTAATGAAAATGTTCTGATGACAATTGCAGTGGTAGTTGCATGCTTTTTTGAATATACTAAAAATCATAGAATTTTACACTGTAAATGGGTGAACTTTGTGGTATGTTAATAATGTTTCTTTAAAGCTGTTAAAAAAATGCATTCGTCTGTTCACTTAGTATATACCTGTGCAGAGCTGGGTATGAGTTCTTGCCCTTGAAGTACTCCAGTCTATGGATCAGACAAGCAAACACAGGGTATAGCCTACAGATGCTGAAATTAAGTTCATGTCCTATTATATTCTGGTGCCCTTATGTACAATTATGAGAACGCTTGTAAGTTAATCAGGCAGGAATAAAATGAGGGTTGGCTTGGGTTTGACATCATTTCTATACAAGATAAGTCCTGCTCTAGCATGTCATTGAGATTATTTAGATGTCTTCTATACTGACAGTTCCTAAAAGTTTATGAAGTGGTTTACCCAGGGCCTTTGAGTTGTTTCTGTAATATTTCTGTGCTCTCTTCTAATCTCAGTGTGCATGAAGTTGAGTGATGATTTTTGTGAATGGAGAGTCATGATCAGACCTAGTAGTGTATAGTGTGGGACTATTTGTTTTGTTTGTTTGTTTGCTTGCTTACCAACTAGATGTGACTTTTAGTAGACTGCTTAATTTACCATAAAGATTGTTATAGTTCTGGTATTTGGATTCTACTCAGGACTCTTGTAAGACTGACAGTTTATTAAGTCTCACTCATATATTCTATGCTTGCCAACCTGGTTTTCTGTCTTTTCTCCACAGCAGTTACATTCAATTATTAACATTCTCTTCAAGCATAACCCACCTGGCTCCCCTCGTTTTTAGGGATTATTTTCCTAAATTTCTCATAGCAAATATGGAAGTTGTGAGGTATAGAGCTCCTTGGGCCTCATATTTGCTTCTCAGTTTCCTTCACAGGTTCTTTTTTCTTCCTTAACTTGTTATTCTGTCATTGACCCACTTCTCTCAGACTACCCTTCTTCTCTGGGCAGTTAACTCAGCCTCCACTGACAATATACACATCTGTTTTCTTCTGTAGTTGACCTCTCTGTTAAGCTCTATACCTAAATTTCAAGCACAACTTGCATATCTTATAGATGAATCAGTGTGAAATTCCCAAAATAGAAATTATTATCCCCTGTCTACCATAATTTTTATCTTGGTTTATCAGTGCAGTTCATCTTGTCAACTTAGCTTAAACTAAGTTTCCTTTACTTTCTCCCTCTCTCTTCTCCATGATGTGTTATTCTGTCTCCTGCAGCTTAATTTGAAATCTTTCCTCTTCTTTAAATGCTCACTCCCAGTGTTTTAATTTGGATGGTCCTCATCTTTTACAGGACTATTGTATTAACCTCCTAATTGATCTCCCAGCTGCTTCTCATGTCTTCCACAAATCAACATCAGCATCTAATGGTGAGCAGCATTACCCTTCCAAAACACAAACCCAGTTATATCGCTCTCATGCTTGAAAACCTTTGAACTAACCTTGACAACACTCATTATCTAAAGAGGAGTCAAATAGGAATTCCATTATGTGGCATACAAGACTTCAGTGTACTTTTCTTGTATCAGCATGCCCCCACCTCAGCTTACCTTTTAACACTCAACCAACTCTCTAGCCTTTTACTCCAATAATCATCTGTATATGCTTAGATTCTTTGTGGATGCCCTCTTAGAATGCTCTTCTTATCTTAATACATTTAAAATCTAGTGATTTAACTTTCTTGAAGAGCCTCTTAAACAAAATTTTCAAATCTTCAGTATATCCATAATGATATATCTATAATGTAGAGCTTATCATGCTGTATTACAATTTTTTGTTCACGTATCTGGACTGTGAACTCCTTGAGGACATGGATCTTACTTAATTTATCTTGTATTCCTAGTGCCTACTTTAGTATTTAGCACATAGTACATCATCTTGTCTGTGTTTTATCAATCATTATTTCCCTCTCAGTTTTAATGTTTATTGACAAGGTGTTACTTGACTTTAAAATCTGTTTCAATTATTCTTGGTCTAATTATTCCTGACAAAAGCCCTGGAATCAAACTGCTCCATCATTTTCTGACCATTGGGTCTTGAACAAACTATTTCACACCACTAATTCTCCATTTCTACATCTGAAAAATAAGAAAAATAATACTTATGTTAAGTTTTGAGGGTTAGATGCATGTAAAGCTCTTAAAATATAATGCCTGACACAATTTGCTTGCATACCATGCATTTTATTTCATATTATTATTTCTGCTAATCTGTTCATTCACAGATATTGATGAGCATTTCACTAGTTGCCAGGTACTGAATGTAGGTACCAGAAACAAGATAGTTATGGTCTCTGCACTCATGGGGTGATACTTTGGCTTGTATTAGATATTATAATAATCATTTTAATAATTGCTCTATGTGTTGGTAAAGAGTTACTGTTCCAATTAAATTGTAGTTTCCCCAGGCTTCCAAAAATTTGTATATATTTATTGAGCTAACTTTATTAAGTAGTTTCATTAATGACATGTATCTGAAATATAAGAGCAGTAGTACATGATGCATAGAGTATGAGATAAGCAGCCAGGATTGAAGAACACTGACCTATACATGTGGTTCAGATTCTTTATTATGGAGTCCAAGACCCATCATTCACTGTGTTCCAACCAGATGCTTCTTCTGGCCCTGGAACCCACCAGTCTTGGTCCTCTTTTAGTACTCTTTTAGGACTCCTCTGTTTTTGTTCAATCAGAGATAAGACCCTAGATGTCTACCTGCTCCTCCTCTGCTTCCCTCTGCACCCACTCTAGTTTTGGATTTCACATCTGGAACTCAGGTTGAAAACCACTGAGATAATCCAAATCAGTGAGGCCCAGAAAGATTAAGTGACTCACTGAAGTCATATCATGGAGAATGGCAGACCATATCTAAAACTCAGGATTTATATTCCTAACATAGTTCTATTAATTTTTCTTCTGAGCTTTCATATGTATAATGTCTGGGCAGGTTGATCTGAAGTGATCTCTTAATTCTTTCCTTCCCAAATAAATTATCATTCATTTGTTCCCTCATTAATTTATCTATTGATTCAATAACATTTATTTGACTACACAAGGAGCAGTGTAGGATCTGGTGGGAGGCGGGTAGAAAATTTGAATAATACAAATTTCCTATCCGTAAGGTTCTTAATCAGGTCCTTTATATTCAATCATTAAATATTATAAAGAAAAATAAATTATTAGTGTTTTAGAAGAGAAACCATAGTATAACCTTTTCCACTGTTTTCTTTCTTTCCTTTTCTTTTATCCAGGGAAAGACCATGTTTGTAGATTTATTGGCTGTGGGAGGAATGATCGATTCAACTATGTGGTCATGCAGTTGCAGGTAGGTTACTTTGAAAATGTCTTTCAGTTTTTATCAAAGTACCTAATTTCATGTAGGTATGTATTATAAATAGATATGAATACAAATAATAACATGCTTGGTATCATCTCAGAATATTATAAACTATGCAGATGGAGCTTTATTTAAACAGACTTGATACAGGATTTTCCAAAGATGGAAGGGTTGTCCTTGCCAACTTTTTTAGTTGTTCCATATCTTCATTGATTGTCATCACTGAAAAGTTTTCAATTCCCACAGAGATTACTGGAGATAATATGAGTGTTCCCCTGTCCCTTCCCTTCCACCCTTCATTACCTTAGGACTCTAGTTTTCTGTTCATGTGCTCCAGAACCAACTTTGACTGCTTGAAAATTTAAGCATTACTTGAAATAGAAGAGAAATGCCATTCTTCTTTCTCTTGCCGTGCATTAACATAGCTCTGTTGCCTGTCCTTTAGATTAGGAGTGGAGTTGGATTGGGACAGCAAAGGAAGAAAATTCAGAAATGAAATATTAATGACTGCAGCAGAGAGAAGAGGGAAGCCATCCCATTCTCTGTGACTGTTTCTGTCCCGAGGTACATACCATGTGTCATGAACTGCACTCATCCTCAAAGTGTAGAGGCTGTGGTTCACCTTGCTGCCTAACTGAGTTCTCAGTGTTTCCTTTTGTATTTGGCAAAATTTGTTTTGGGCATTTGGTTTTTTTATTTTCTTTCAACTTGATTACATAACAGTGATTTCAGAGATTGAGATTCAGGCCTAAATGCTTTCTCTCTTGTCAGAAGGATTTCCTTGTTTCCCTCAATTATGCCTCAGCATTTAATTTAGATCTAAAGTTATTCATCTCTTTGTAGGGTATAGACTTAAAATTTTTGAGTAATATGATTCACTATCTCTTGAACCAACATAGTTTTATTTCTTGAAGCACCTACCCCTCTCTGTACAGTTTTACTTTTTAAGTCATTGAAATGGGCCTAAAAAAGGTCTCTCCCTTTGGCCAATAATAATGTAAGTTTTTATATGGTATTTTATAGTTTTCTTTTAGATTTATCATACATCTCATTTGGTCCTCACCATATCCCCATGGAGAGGATAGGACAGGTTTTATCCCTGTTTTGCAAATGTGGAGGCTGAAGTTCAAGGAGGTTCAAGCAGAGACATAGGACAAGCATCATGATTAATTTTTCCTGCCAATGGGAAAAATGCTGAGATATAAATAGTTGGAATTGTGGACTCCATCTTAAGGCTAAGATTCCATTTTGAAAACCAGGGAGTTTGGAGGTAAGAGTCCTAACATTTTATGGTGATTAGTCAACAACTAATCAACTAATTAGTCAACGTCCTTTCTTAAGGCCAGACTAGCAGTTCTAAATGGGATGCTTCCACTGCTTGAGGGTAACCGTGATCTTGGAGAACAGGACCAATAAATTCCTTGTGTTAAGTTTATCTTACAGAATATCTAGAAGATTATGACAGTGACATACTGTCTTTCACTGGAAATAGACATCATGAGACCACATATCAGCCTACACTCCCCTGGCCCTTTATCCCATTCTTGAAATCCTTAAAAACCCAAATCCTGAACCTTTAAGCATGCCTCCTTTCTGAGGTCAGCCACATTCCTGAGTGTGGACTGTCTTATCAAATAAACTTTCTTGTTTCATAAGCCTGTTGCACTTGTCCCTGAACTCTTTCATGATAAAGACAAGAACTCACCAATCTCCACCTTCAGTGGTAAATGTCTTTGTCACTTTGCTGTTTCATTCAGTTTTTTAGTCTTAAGCACAAGTCTTTTCTCTCTGTTCTACTTCAGATGAGTAGGGAAAGGCTACTGAGTTCTCTGATTTGGGCTTGCAAGTTCCCATTGCCTGGGTGACCTGGATGGGACTGGGGCTGTACAAACATGTTCTTTAGCAGCCTGCCCAAAAAATCTCCTTTCTGTGCTTTGGGAAATTCTCAGAACATAATCTCACTCCTTCCAGTGCCCCGCAGCTCCCCCAGATTCTGGGGTGTTAGGGGCTTAATTCCCACTGTGCAGATTCATGCAGACACTGGATGCCAGGTGACCATGGCTTTAGGAGTTGGCAAGGGATTTTTCCAATGCCGAGCAGGAATTCAGTGAACTTTCCTTTCCTCCCTCTGTCTTCCCTTGCTCTCTGCTGCCTACATGGCTGCTGCAATTCACTACTACTCACACTTTAATGAATTCCTTCCTTACCTACATTCGTCCAATCTGTTCACGAATTCTTTCTCATTCAGAGTCAAGAACTTCTCCCTGGTTGAGGTCTCACCTAGTGCACAGGGAGATCTCTCTGGATTGGATTGCCTGACAACAGTTTGCCTGGGACTGACTAACTTGATAGGTGTTAAGGCTTGTTGGAAGCCTGAAGCCAGCATAGTATTCTTGGCACAATTAGAGAAAACTTCTGTTTTGTCTTTTGCTTACTACTGACTAGAGAATATAGACAGGAGCTCTTTTAGTCTAGAGTCTCTCAGTCTTAGCACACACTTGTTTTTATTTTATTTGCACTTACCTCAATCTCACTTTCTAGAAATGGACAGACTTAGTGTGGGAACGCTAAGGAGACTGGTGTATATCAGATATGATGGCCTTTGTGGCCTTTGGCAAGGTCTGTAGACTCAAGAACCTTTCCATTTGACTGGCATGATATACTTTTTACTGTCATGAGAAAATCAGCTTACCAGTAATTACATTCCTCTAGTTATGGTTGACTTGATTTGGGACAAGTCTAAAACTAGTAATTCTGCTAGAGGGTACTCTCTCCTATTTGACAGATTGAAGATAACTATTAGATTTCCCTGTATGTTTTGGTAAAACTTACATGCTCAGACCCAGCTTTACACTGATACTCCTAACTTCTTAAAAACTCTGAATTCATTTTTCTTGTTAACTTTACTCTCTTCCTCTAGGTGATTCATTTATATAATATCTGTCTTAAAAATCTTAAGGAATAATTTATGTCTGTTGTAGAAATTCTGTTTATCATTAAAATGTGTCTTAAAATCTTACAGAGTTCAAGCAGTTGTACACATTTCTTTTTTTATTTCTACTGGCAAGGTCTTTATTTCTACTTGCCCAGATCTCATTTAATATCCTGTCACCATTGAGGCTTTACATGAGTATCTTTAGTATAGCCAAAGGGTAATATTTTCTTAGGATATCAACTTTGGGAGGGGCAAAAAAATATTTTAGATTCTGTAATCAGTACAGATGTAGATGGGGATTGATTAACATTAGAGCAGCCATATATTTTTAACTTTTAATTACAATGGAAAAAACATACACAAAAGTAGACAGAATAGTATAACAAACACCCATGTACTCATCACCCGGCTTCAGTAATTACCAGTGTATGTATGGCCAGTCTTGTACCAGGTGTATTCTCCCGCTCTTCTCCCTCCCTAGATTATTTCAAAGCAAATCCAAGGCATATTTTTATCTATAAATATATCAGTATTTATAAGAGTCAAGGATTCCTTTATTTCCCCCTCTTAACCACAATACACAATCATTCCTTAATGACAGCGTCAAATACCAAGGCAGCCTTCAGATTTCCTTGATTTTGTCTGTCTTTTACTTCTTCATATTTGCTTTACTTGAATTTGGTTCCAGATGGGGTTCACACACTGCATTTGGTAGATACATCTCTTAGGTTTCTTTTGATCTATAGGTTCTCTCTCTCTCTCTTCTTACAGTTTTCTTTCTCTTGTATTTTTTATTGTCACCGATAAAAGCGGAGTCACTTGTCATGCAGAAGTTTCTATATTCTGGACTTTCTGATGGTCTCCCTGTGGTGTTAACATGTTCTTTCACCTCCTGTATTTTCTTTAAGCTGATGATGAGATCAGATCCCAGTTTTGTTTTATTTGACCATAATATCCCTCTCCTAGGAGTGGTTTGCTTCCTATTGTATCAGTAGGCAGTGTCTAGTTGTCCCTTTTTTAGTTATGTTAAGATTGATGAATGAGGTTCGGGGACTATCGGCCTGTTCCATCTGTTTTAAAGCCCAGTAGTTTTACTCCTAGGTTTTTAATTTTTTTAATTAAAGTATCATTGATATATAATATTATGAAGGTTTCACATGAATAACATTGTGGTTTCAACATTCACCCATATTATCAAGTCCTCACTGTCCCCTATTGCAGTCACTGTCTATCACTGTAGTAAGATACTATAGAGTCACTAATTGTCCTCTCCTTGCTGTACTGCCTTCCCTGTGACCTACCTATATTGTGATTGCAAATTATAGTGCCCCTTAATCCCTTTCTCCATGCCCCCACCACATTCCCTAATCCCTCCCCTTTGGTAACCACTAGTTCCTTCTCAAAGTCTGTGAGTCCGCTGCTATTTTTTTCCTTCAGTTTCACTTTGTTTTTATACTCCACCAATGAGTGAAGTCATTTGGTACTTGTCTTTCTCCACCTGTCTTTTTTCTCTGAGCATAATACCCTCTAGCTCCATCCATATTGTTGTAAATGGTAGGATTTCTTTTCTTCTTATGGCTGAATAATATTCCATTGTGTATATGTACCACATCTTCTTTACCCATGCATCTATTGATGGACTCTTAGATTGCTTCCATATCTTGGCTGTTGTTAACAGTGCTGCAGTAAACATAGGGGTGCATCTCCTAGGTTTTATCAAACCATTAGTAATCATTGTCTCGATCCTTTACTTCAGTGGGGTTGCAAGTCCTAATCTTATTTCTTCTCCATGTATCAGCTGAAATTCTTTAAAAATCACTCCACTAACTCACAGGTTATTCGGAGGTACATTTCATACAGGAAGGGCAGGATTAATACTTGACTTTTTTTTAATATACCAGTTCTAGAATATGAGTTGGTCCCTAATATTTTCAAAGGGGGACTAATGAACTCTCTTTTTAAAAAATTTAATTATGAATTAATGGATAAAACATATTTAATGTACTTAACTGCAGTTTTTCATTTTCATGTTCAAAGTGTTGACTAGAGGCAC